TTCTTTATTAAAAGGGAAAAGTAAAAATCTATTACTGTTAATTTAGATGTAAAGTGGTGTTGATCCAATAAGTATAAAATACTACATTATTTTTACTTTGACTAAGTTATTAAATTAGTTTTTAAAGTTTGATATTTGTTATAATTTAATTTTTAATATTTTTTTATAATTTAGTATTTGAAATGTTTTGTTTCTTTTAAAAATTTGATTTTTTTATTGAAAAAATTAAAATTATTAAATTATATTTGAATGCTTTAAAAAAATAATTCAAAAAAATTAATTTAATAAATTAATATACCAAAAAATGAATAAAAAATTAAGTACTTTTTGTTGTTATTAATTTATTAATTTAATTAATTAATCAAATGCATTTTTTTTAGATGTTTTTAAAAGTATATAAATATATTTTAATTATTTTAGTTTTTTTGTCAATAAATAAAAAGAAACTAAATGTTGGTTAAGAGACCCAAAAATATTACGAACTAAATTACAATAAGTATCAAATTTTAAAAACTAATTTAATAATTTGTGCTTTTATGTTTTACTTATTAATCAGTTATATGATCGAATTGAATAAGAATAAAATTTACTTAACTACATGGATCATAAATATAGATTTCTAAATTTTTCCAAAAAATATTCTCTTATTCAAATGTTGCCTTACATTTGACTCCTTAATAAAAAACTCCGTCATATATTAGATAAATATGGTTTGATTTCAAAATTCTATCATGTAATGTAATTAATTCTGTGACGTAATATAATACAATATAATCATTCATTATATTCCAATATTTGACGATACCCCTTTAGAAAAAAATGTTAGGTCATACTAATGTAAATAGCCGTGTGGTTCAATCATTTATTATATAATAATATTAATTTTACAAATGTAAATAATCAGGCAATATATTCACATTCATATTATTAAGACGGAAAACTCAAAAGCTTTTTGAACACCTAAATGTCCAAAAGACACTTCAAAGTACCCGAAGGTGTCTTTTGGTAATTTAGATACCCAAAATACTTTTGGGTTTTAGATATATCCAAAAATGTCTTCAAAATGCCTTAACAATCTATGAGTAATCAAATACTCAAAAGCACATTGAGTGCCTAAAATACTTAGAAACAATATTTCTAGTTATTTAAAATGCCCAAAAGCTCCCCTTATACCTTAAAATAGAAAAGATTTAGTACTTAGATGCTAAAAGACATCTTAGCTACTCATATACTCGTGAACGTTTTCGAGCGTACCCAAAACATCAAGCAGTAAATGA